CACACACACACACACACACACACACACACACACACACACACACACACACACACTCAGAAGACTCGGTCCTACCAGGGGGAATGTGGTTTACTCCAGATGGCTTCAGAAGTTCCAGAAGCTGTTCTTTACTGGGAAGTCCATCTGTGGGAGACAGAGAGAAACCATTCCAACTGAGAAAAGCCATGTAGTGCTGAGGATCAGGGAAGCATAAGTCATCAGGATATTGTATTACAGCTCTGCACACAAATTACATATGCAACATATGGGCCACTGCCAGAGAAGATGCCATATTTTGAAGCAAAGGACTGAGGGATGACGTACTCTCACTGTCTTAAAAGGTAACAAAATTGTCTCTATTTACTGTAATACATGTTCCTAGTCTCATCATGCATTAACGCACCACAAAACAGTTTCTCTTTGTAATTTTTCATCAAAAACATAATAACTTTTCACCTCTGATAGAGCTTTCATATCAAGTCCCAGATGCTATTTCTCTGAAGTTTCAATTTTTTGGCATATTTTCAATATTTCATCGGCTGAACAATCTGAAAGCCTATTGAACTTACTGAAAATAAACTGTCCGTCGAACTCTTAATGCCTAATTTTTATTTGCATCAGTTTAAATCTGGCGTCTACCCTGAGGAAGGTCCGCAGCGCACATGAAATTAACACGCAACAGATTTCTTAAAGCAGGATTTGTAATTATGTGGAAAGGCAAAACAACATCAGTAGGCATGATAACTCTGAGAGAAGCAGCTATAAATAGCCTAGATCTCTAAAAGAGGAAGAGAGAGAGAGAAACGCTCACTGCAGGATACATGAGAGCATTAGCATTCACACACACAGGAACCATAAAACCCTAGTGAGGGAATCTCACTAAACCTGTTATAAACAAATCCATATTTTTTTTTCATATTGTGGCATTAAGACAATTAAGCAGTTCTTATTACTGTAATGTGGAAAAAATACACCTTATTATAAGCATTTATGAATAACATCATAGTAGTAGTCTGTGTGGGATTGCTTGATATATTGGCAAGAATTGGCTTTTTTTTTTTTTTTTTATCAGCTGTGGCCGATTGCTTTTCTCGGGCAGTTGTGTAAATCTTAGTTGCCTGCAATTAATTGTACAATATATCTATTAATATTATATTAGCCAATGGCTACCCTTCTTGATATATATTGGAATCAGCCATTATAGGGATTCCAATATATAGTATTTAGTTTATGATCAAATAAAATATGATGCAATAAAATAAAACAAATTACAGCAATTTCTTATTTTATTATATATTTTATTAAATTATTTATTATATATTGATTGCATTTACAATAACAACATGATAATAAAAAGAATCAACAATAACTATTTAAATTAAAATAATAATAATAAAAAAGAATTTAAAAAACATTTAAAAGAAAGCAACCAGACACATTAAAGAGAATTTAGGGAGAAAATGTGGCTGAAAATAATGCCACAATTCAATAAAATATTAATGGTACAAAAAATAGGCTTGATTTTATTTATACTAAATGTACAATACTGTTCAAAAGTTTGGGTCGGTAAGAACTTTCGGGGAAAAAAAAAAATTACAACATTTTTAAAAAGCAAGGACACATTAAATTGATCAGAAGTGACAGTAAAGACTGTTTCAAATGTTACAAAAGATTTCTATTTCAAATAAATGCTGTCATCACAGCAATAAATAAAAGAAAAGACACAAATAAACAAATAAATCTTACAATATATTAAAATAAAAAAGTTATTTTTAAATAATAATGGCAATAATATTTCACAATATTACTGTTGAATGAATAAATGCAAATCATTTGAGCTAAATGCAGTATAGGTGAGCGTAAGAGACTTATTTTAAAAATATTTGTAATAAAATCTTACTGACCCCAAACATTTAAACGGCACTGTATATATATATATTTTGCTTTTTTTTTTTTTTTATTAAATATAACTTAATTCATATACATTTTAATTCAACTTTAAAAATCAATACATTTTTTAATCTGAAAAATATCTTTGTGACATCCAGGTGCTGTAATGAGTTTGTGTATGGCAGCACCGGGAGCAGCGATTAATCTAACAGTAATGAGCTTCAGATGCACTTCACACGAGTGAGCTTCCTGACATACTGACCCTGATGTGTCTCACACCTACTCGCTAAAGACTGACGGTGAATCACAGCCTGAGAGAGAGAGACGGGAGAATCGAGATGAAAGAATTCAAAGACTTCACAGTGTTTAATTCAGTAGACATTCCAGTCACAGTCATGCCAGCGGCGGCAGGCGGTGACAGGGCTCAGGGTCGTTTCCACGGATCAACAGCGGCGTCAGTTCCTCTGAAAGTGAGACCGGAGGGCTTTACGCCTCAGTTTGCACAAAACACTGCAGAGAGGATGAACAACCGCCTCAGAAAATCTGGAGGGGCTCACCGAGAGACATTCACATTGTGTTGTTGCATATCCACATTTCTACCCCAACATCACTTCAGTAGAAGCCCAATCTCTCCTCAAACCTGCTCTGAACTGCAGAAAGCAGAGCTCGGTGCACTGCCTGTGTGATAGGAAAAGTGCATTTTCCAGAACAAAACACTCAGGGATAATTTATTCTGGTCTGCAGACAACAACGCACACATTTGCTCAGTTTCTTCCCAAAAGTTGAGACACTGGCGAACAGTGTTTCCAACAGAACTGTGCTTTTACAGCAGCCTCCAGATGCCTCCAAATGTCCAACTTACATACTAAAACTACAAAAAACTAATTTAGTATTTTGTAAAATATATGAATATATTTTATGATAAAACCTTAAACTAAAACAAATAGCTTTTTTGTGACTGTTTGAACCCGTTAAATTGTCCAACTTATATACTTAAACTAGTAAAACAAATGTAATATTTTGTAAAAACATGTGAATATATTTCATAATAAAACCATAAACTGACTAAAGTAAAATAATAAAATAAAAATCTTTTTTGTGACTGTTTGAAGATCAACAATAACTGATCAAAAATAATAATATAAATAATATAGAAAATAAAATATGAAAAATAATAAAAGAAAAGCCTAAGAAAGTAAAATAAAATAATTGTTGTGGGTATGTCTATTACTGTGGTTTGATGATCAATGATTACTGATTTCAGACTTAGCCATTAAAAATAAAATAAAATAGAATAAAATAAAATAAAATAAAAAAATATATAAATAAAAAATGTGGGTGTATATCTATTACTGTGGTTTGATGAGCAATGATTACTGATTTCAGACTTGACCATTAGAAATAAAATAAAATAGATTAAATAAATAAATAGACAAAACTTTTTTTGTGGGTATGTCTGTTACTGTGGTTTGATGATCAATGATTATTGACTACAGACTTAAATCAGACATAAATCAAAAAATAAATATAAATAAAATAAAATAAAAATCACTTTTTTTGGGCATGTCTATTGATGTGGTTTGATGACTGACAAATACTTACAAACAAATCCATGGTTGGCCACTTTGCATGTCATCCAGACTGTCTCATCCCACCTAAGATGGGTTTTTCTTGTCCAGAATAAGCTTCAGAAGGGATCAGACTTTATGCCTATAATCAAAAGACTACCAAAATAGAGACGAGAGCCAAACCTCCACACTCAGCCTCAACCACTATCAACTGATCTGCCTTCATACCTCTTGACTTAATCATATCTGTGGATCTGATTGAGTGACAGGACCCCAGCGACCTCATCCATTCATGTAAGACACACAGCGGCTCAGATAAGAGCTACACTTATCCCTGTGAATTCAGATCAGAACAGACAGCATCAATCAGCCTGCTGCTGATAAAACAGAATACTGCAGCCAAGACTAAGACACCCAACAAACCCTGGCTGTTTCTCAAATAAAGATTGCAAATGAAGGCTGCAAATAAAGATTATTTTGATCAACATGCTCAAGGATTATTTCCTAATTATTTTTTAATTAATCAGATCAAAAAAAGTGTACAAAAATTTGTAAAAAAAAGTTGTGCACAATTGTTCTAAAAAAATATGTAAAAGTGTTTTATTGTACAATGTGTGCATTATATATATATATATATATATATATATATATGCACACACACACAATATTAATTATTTATTGTATTATTTTATTTTTTGGCAGAATTATAAAATGTAACAACGCAACAAAAAAGGCATTATCCTTATGCTACATTTATAAAAAAAAAAAGTTTTATTTTTTTTATGAAATAAAAACTGCAAAAAAAATACATATATGTCTGTATCCGAGTCTGTATGTAAGGTTATGATATAAATTGTGTATAAAAGGGTTAAAATATAATTGTCCTACGGCTTTACAACTGTGGACAGTTTTTTTAAATATATATAATGTTACAGTTTAAATCACTAAATTATAAAAACAAGATCTGACTAACTGATAATGACATTTGGTGCCATTCATTTTTATTATCAGTTATTTCCCCTTTAATGTTTATTGTTGCAGCCCAATGCACAAGATTATGGGATTTCACAGGAAGTGATGGATACATATGCCATCTTCAAAAACTGACCAGATGAAGGCATCTTAGCAGACAAGATGTTACACAACCACTGAACTCGAACATGTCTTGTTGCCTTTCTATCGCTGTTTACTACCTGCAT